AAGTGCTGTAAAACACAGCATTTCCGACCATAACAAGGCCAAAAAATAAGAGGTGTGGGTGCCGCACCGGGGGGGGACGGCCTACTACTACTACTACTACTACTACTACTACTACTACGACGACTATAAGACTGCGACTACGACTACGACTACTACTACAATTACTGCTACTGCTACTGCTACTGTTATTTTTACTACCGCTACTGCTGCTGCTATTACTCCTACTACTTACTACTACTACTACTATTACTACTACTACTACTGCTGCTACTACTACTACTACTTCTACTACTACTACTACTACTACTACGACGACGACTATAAGACTACGACTACGACTACGCCTACTACTGCAATTACGGCTACTGCTACTGCTACTGTTATTTTTACTACCGCTACTGCTGCTGCTACTACTCCTACTACTACTACTACTACTACTACTACTATTGCTACTACTACTACTACTACTACTATTGCTACTACTACTATTTCTACTACTACTACTACTACTACTTCTTCTACTACTACTACTACTACAACTACTACTACTACTACTACTACTACTACTTACTACCGCTGCTGCTACTTACTACTACTACTACCACTACTACGACCACTACCACTACCACTACCACCACCACTACTACTACTACTACTACTACTACTACTACTACCAACTATTCATTACACCACTAGTTACTCGCACCAAATAGTAGCTGCTATGTATGAGCTCCTGCAACTATGCTTGTACTAGATACTAGTTACTAAGCCCTAGCTACTAGCTACGACTAGCCCCCCAGCATCAGCCACCAGCCACTAGCTACTGGCTGCTAGCCAGCTACTATTTACTACCTACTCGCTGCTACCGTTGCTACTGCTACCACTACTGTCACTGCCACTGTTACAACTGCTGCCATTGCTACTACGACGACGGCGGCGGCCACGACTATTTCGGCTTCTGCCGTTTTGCTTTGCTACCCTCCTCTGCTGTTGCATCCGTTGGTGCTAATTCTTGTGTTCTTGGCATGATCTTTTGATTGTTTGATTTCGACTGATGTGCTGCTGGTTATTGAAGTTTCGATTGCAACTGCGTTTATGAGCTCTGATCAGAGACTCCATAATTTTGCAGGGCTTTTTTTGCGAGCATTGAGGCCACCGATCAGTGTCCAGCGGAATGCGCGGTTCGTGTGCCCTTCAAACATGATCATGAGGCCCGGTTGATAGGGGCTTTGGGCCTGCAGGACTCCAGCTCTTGCTTGGTTGTTGGGGAAATCAGTTGGTGGCATCGGCTCTTGACAATAGCGGTCTTGAGTGGGAAATGTGTATCACGACATGCACCGGTAGGAAAAGGCAGATCGCTGTGCCGCTTTTGCTCCGGGTTCAGAGTGGTGGAGCTTTAGGGCAAGGCTGCAGGCCTGCGGGCATAAGAACTTCTTGGCAAACTCAAATTGGAGGTCTCCACCCTTGACTTCCACGGCAAAGTCCATGCTGATGCTTGTCTTTCATGGTTTCCAGCATGTTGGGTAGGTTTGCTCGGGCGGATAGCATTCAGATCTCCAGTGCCATCCCCGTTGCGGCTTTCACCTTGCCCCGTAAGCTACCCAGCTTCCAAGTAACGTGCGCGAAGATCCCAACACGGATCCTAGGCCACAATGTGCAAGCCCCAACTCCAAACTGCACGCCATAGGCGAGGTGGGAAGGATAGCGAACTGCAAAAGCCTGCAGGAAAGCGTCGACCTCAGTGGGTTGCTTGGCCCCCGACGGCTACCGCTCGCGCGAGCGGATCTCTCCGACCCCGCCCGACCCTGAAACTGGCTGACTGCTTATTCACTTCAGCTTCTCAAAGGGCTCTGGTTGGTAGTTGCTGTTTTGATTGCCGTTGGGTGCCGAATCGGCAGCTATCCGGCAGGGCTTGCTTGTTGCGAGCTCATCGTCCTGGGCCACAGCAGTGGCGCAAAGGTAGCAGTCTTGAGTACTGGAGGCTTGGGGCGAAGAGATGGGATCTTGGGATTGGGGCTGCAGCTGTGATAGGCGAGTGAGGCGATAAAGAAGGTGGGCCTTTCACTGTTCTGGGAGGTACGGGAGTTGATAATAAAGCTCGGATCAGGTACATGGCTTCGTGATGTCTGTGGACGCGGATGGCGTCGCTGTGAGAGGTATCTTCAAGACCGCGAAGTACCTGCTGCGGCTGCTGCTACTGCTGCTGCCTCTGTTGCACTTCATTCAGACAAGACTTACGGACTTACAGCTTTCGTCATCAGGAGAGTTAGGCCGTGTCTCGTGCTCCTGCCTTCGATGACGCAAAGGCGTGCATCGAACTTGCACTGCTGCGATTCCTAGTGTCTCTCACAAGTTTCACCGACCATTGGCTATGCAGGGAGTGAGACCGGTGCTGCCAACAGGCTGTATGCAATTACCATAGCTACAGGTCTGCAGGGACTCCTTGCTGGTCAGTGCAACAGGCCCTTGGTGCTGTATCACGCAGCTCCCTTCCTTCTGATGTGCAGCTCATAGCTCATGAGATCTCATGAACTCGTGTGTTGAGGCTGGAGACTTCCCGAGGGTTAGGCAGAGAAAGCATGGCATGCAAGCTTGTAGCTTCTAGCTTTTAATGCATTTAAAGCCCAGCACGAGGCCAAGGCACTTCTTGTCATCTTCCTGCTGCTGCTTAGAGATGGCACACTGCTTGGATTTCGGTGACCCGAGTTCGCCACCGGGCGTGGAGGCCTGACACCACAGAACTGCACAAAAGTCAAGATCAGAGCAGTGTGGCTAGGACTTTCCTCAATTGGGTCCCAGTCAAAAACATGTCACTTCGTTCACCCGTTTTTTGGAACAGGCCTTGTTAAGGCTACAACCTCATTCGCGGAAGGAAACTAGGGCAGCGTAGCGAAAGCACGCTGCTACAAGGTTCTGCGGGAGCATGTCACAGAAGCTTTTCGCGCGCGCAAGGAATGCAGAAGGGTTCGCAGAAGCGGGAGTAACATCCATTAGCTTGTGCTTGCCAAAAAACCAGGCTCAAGTGCGCTAAGCCTTCACTTCTTACATGTTGTCACGGCGAGCGACAGAAATCGTGAAGTGCATCAGCGCGAGTTGTTCGGGGTTTTGGGCTCAGGTTACAGGTTTCAGGGGTTGCGACAATTTGTGCATCCAGCAGTCTTTTCGAGCTGTTTTGAGCTACGCAGCAGGACGATTTCGAACCTCTGGCGCCAGCTGAGGAAGCAACTGCGATTGGAAAGTGCTGCTGCGGGTTTGCTGCAGTTCAGGGACTCTCAAGTGTAGAGTTGGGGACCGCGGTGCGCGGTAGTGGTAGTGGTCGTGGTCGTGGTGGTAGTGGTAGTGGTAGTGGTAGTAGTAGTCGAAGTCTCGTAGTAGTAATTAGTAGTACCTTTAGTAGTACTGTAGTAGTAGTAGTAGTAGTAGTAGTAGCAGGAGGAGTAGTAGCAGTAGTAGTAGTACTAGTACTAGTACTAGTACTAGTACTAGTACTAGTACTAGCAGGGAGCAGGGAGCAGGAACAGTAGCCATAGCAGGAGCAGGCGAAGCAGGAGAGGTGGTGATGGTGGGTCTTGATGGTGATAGCAGTACATTTTGCAAAAGCTCTTCGCCTTCTGTTTGGGGCTCGAGATCTGAACGAGCAAAGGTGTAACCTCAGACTCAGAACGAAGAGCCTGACCTTGGTTGGAAAGCAAACGAGACCAAGGGAGAATTGTTGCTTACATTTGAGAGGCACTACTGCCGGAGCTAACGAGAGCCACAGAGCACGAGAGTTTCTGTGAGGGCAACAGAGAAGCAGCCAAAGGATTTATCGAGAGTAATGATAAGTATCGCTTATCATCCATTCAAGCGGCCGTGGAGGCAAGGCAGAGTTCTGCCAAGCAGCCCCAAACTTGGAAGCGGTGGAGCCTGCAGCCCTCAAGTCTTGACCTGAAGGAGCCAGAATGCTCCAAAACCGTGCCGCTTCCGGCAGGAGTGCCGTCCCCATCCGTTGAGTGTTGGCTTTTCTTGGGTTCTGGGGTTTCATGTGACAGGACCGATGCCGTCGCCACTGCCGGATGCCTTGAGAGTCAGGAGGTTGGGTTGCAGGATGCAGGGGTTTGGTGTCTCACACTCTGAGAAAACGATTCATGATATCATGCACACAGGCACAATCCCAGACTTTCAGTTCGAAGCCTAGCCTGTGACCTTCGAGGTTCTGCAAAGGCTAAGCTAGCTTAAGCCGAGGAACAGGTTTGAGCTACAAGCTGTCGCTCAAACCCCCACATGCTGTTTCTGAGCGAGCTGACACTCCAGGTCATCTGCCCAATGCCCGAAGTGCAGCCCTTCATGTCCGGAAGGCGGTGGCAGCGGCCCACTTCCAGAACCACCGCTGCGGCAGGAGGAGGCTGGGGTGGAGAGTTCGAGACCGGTGCGCAAGCCGCCACAAAATCGCGAGGTTGTTGCACACACAGGCAAAGTTGGAAGCCTGGAATTTCGCTTGCTGCCTTGTGCTTGACGATTTGCATGGACTTGCTCCTACACCATTGGTCATTGACGTTTCAATTTGTTCCTAAAGTATTCGGGGCCCTGCAGCCACGCACATCCATAGTCGACGACCAAGGCTTTGCATTCTGAAGCGCAGCAGTGGGCAGAGTCTTGCTGCAAGTTGTTCAACCGGAGATGCAGGAAACCCGGGCCCCTATCATCTCGGCCCTCCCTTGCCGGGCACCCTGGTGTACACAGACCCCAAGTACGAGGCTCGTCGGGCGGGTGCCCACAGGTTGTCTGTGGAGAGACTTTTGCTTAGCTCTAAGAGCTTGTAGGCCACTGTAGGCATCACGGCTCTTCGGGTTGTAGGGTTCGGAGCATGCTGGAGTCAGGAAAACACTCGCTAACCAAGCAGTCAGTATCCTCCAGGTGATAATATTTCCAATCACTAGATCCTTGTGTGAGGACCCACCACCGGCAGCAGCTCCACCGGAAAATGACGAGATGGCGGCCGCGAGAGCTGAACGTGGTGTTTTTTGAAGCACTTCATGTTTACATCCTCTTCTTCTTTCATTTCCCCAACCCCTCAGTGTTGTTTTCTTGTTCGGTTTTTTCCCGAAAATGCCTTGGGGTTGAGCATGCAGGGAGGGTACACTTCCAGACGCTTGAACGCGGACGTGGTGGTGGTGGTGGTGGTGGTGGTGGTGGTGGTGGTGGTGGTGGTGGCGGTGGTGCTGGCGGCGGCGGCGGCGGCGGCGCTGGTGGTGGTGGTAGTGGTGGTAATGGTAATTGGTACTACCAATAGTAGTGGAAAACAGTATATAGTGGCAGTCGCAGTCGCCGTAGCAGCAGCAGTAGCAGTATCAGCAGCAGCAGCAGCAGCAGCAGCAGCAGCAGCAGCAGCAGCAGCAGCAGCACAAGTAGCAGCAGCAGCAGCAGCGGCAAGCAG